CAGCAGGGTGAGAATCGAAATGGTCAACAAGCACATGCGCAGGAAGAGTTTTCCAGTTCTGCCGATTGGTTCATCCCTCCCGACTGCACCCGAAGTGCCCACGTGCAAAGGCAGACTACCCGGCTGCTTGGGAAGCTTGCACCAGTGAAGGATGTATTTCTAGATGCTTGCGGGGTAAAGTATGTGCAATCTTCCCACCCCTGATGCTGCGCGCATCGTGACAGCTGAAAAACAGACGTCATCGGATCCTCCGCTAATCATCCGAATCGGAACTGCTGGAAGAGGACGAGGCTAAGGACAATTGATCATCCTCGGGAAACACGTCCTGCACATGTTGCCGAACATCTCGCTTGATGATTGACTGCACCCCACAGACCCCGCGAGAAGGTGCCTCGGAAAGCTTGGTGAAACTGAGGCAGCCCGACATGCTCGGGGGCACGGGCTCGGGCATGTCCGGCACCACGGCCCAGAGATTAATGGCTACACTTTGCAGCTTGCTCTGCGTCTCAATGGCCAGACGGTTCCGGATGGCACAGCGATCCCTGTTCGCCAAGGCCCAGTAGCGTTCGCACTGCCCTTGCGACGTTGTGCAGGACCAAAACTTGTCAGCCATGACAGCCAGAGGCTTTGAAGGCTGGCCACTCTTCCACCATGAGATGACCTGCGCGGGCCAGGAAAGCGGGAACCAAGAAAATGATTTTAGCCAACCTCTAGAAAATCTTTTTTCACCTCCCCAACCCCAGCACCTCTGACAGAGGTGCATCCCATGCTGGGAAGTCCGTGTCCCGGAACAAGCCCTTCTTCGCGCGGTAGTCGTCCAAGTCAGAGACACAGGCCTCCTGAACCTCGGTCGAGTCGAAAAACTTCTTCGGGAGAAGCTTTCTGGCCATCACAAAAGCTGCATGCATGTGATCTGGCTCTTCGAGACCAGAAAGAGGGCGTGGGTCAAAAACGCTCGCCGCCAGCACCACGTCGTTGCAAAACTGCTGTCGCCGTTGTGCATAGAGTTCGCGCACTTTGTCCTTCCTGAGGTCCACCGTGCCATTGCTCTCACCGGAGTCCTTGAAGTCGCATGTGTCCAAGGCTTCCTCGAGGCGGCACTTCAAAAGGCACCATACGCCAAGTGCTTCTGGCAGCCTAGCGCAAGCGAAGACCTTGCTGGCGGAAGTCACTGCCCACATCACAGGGAGAGCACGTCTGACACGCGCCTCAAGGGCGCGGCGCTCAAGCGCCAGCAGAGCCGTCTGCAACTTTTTGCGTTGCTTGGTCGAATGTCCAAGCTTCTCAGGGCCTTCCTGTCGAAGTAGCTCGGCAACCTTTGCCCGGTGT